GCGAGAAGAATTACCCTACACATGATTTGGAGTTGGGGCGGTGGTTTTATCCCTCAAGGTTTCGAGGTATTATATGTATGGGGTCAAGTGCACGATTTATACTGATCACAAAAGGCTGAGGTATCTGATAGATCAACCGAACATGAACTTGAGATAACAAAATGGTTAGATGTGGTGAAAGATTATGACTGTGAGATTTTGTACCATCATGGGAAGGCCAATGTTGTGACCGATGTCTTGTGTCGCAAGGCAGTGAGTACACTCATCCGAGATTTGTGTTTGAGGATGATTATTATTTCACTACTATTGGATCTGGTCAAGAAAGATCAAGTAGAGGGTTGAAGAAGGAAAATTGGAAGGAAGAGAGGATCAGGGGTCAGATTCCGTTATTTATCAGTGATAGTTATGGGCTGTTGGTTAAGTGTGGGAGAGTGTGGGTCCCGGTGCTGGTGGGGTTAGACAGACGTTATTTGAGGAAGCTCACAAGTCAAAGTTTTTGATCCATCCGAGAGCCACGAAGATGTACAGAGACCTGAGATTGAGTTACTAGTGGCCTAGTATGAAGAGGGATATAGTTTGGTTTGTGGAATGGTGCTTGACTTTCCAGAAAGTCAAGGCCGAACATATGAGGTCTCACGAGAAGATGCAACCATTACACATTCCCATGTGGAAGTGGGAAGAGATGACCATGAATTTTATTACAAAGCTTCTGTGGACGACACGTGGAGTTGATTCTATCTCGGTCATTGTTGATAGATTGACCAAGAGTGCCCATTTCATCCCTATTGTTGAGATCCTTTCCTCTGATAAATTCACTGACATCTACACAAGAAGGTAGTGGTTCAGCACGAGGTACCCATTTCGGTGGTTTTGTGATCGTAATGTTCGATTCACCTCCAGGTTTTGGATGAAATTTCATGAAGAATTGGGTACTCAACTTCATTTCAACACCGCGTACCACCCTCAAACTGACTGAAAGTATGAGAAAACCATTCAAACTCTCAAGGATATGCTTAGGGCATGTGTACTAGATTTTGGCAGGAGTTGGGGTACTTAACTTCCATTGGTCGAGCCCTACTACAATAATAGTTATCATGCCAATATTGATCGTTCACCTTTCGAGATGCTTTACGGGAGGAAATGTTAGACCCTAGCTTATTGGGGCGAGGTCAAGCATCGAGTTATGAGGAGTATTGAGGTTGTACTCAAGATCACCGAGTTGATTCAACAGGTACATGATCGACTGCAGACCGTGCAAACTCTCCAGAAGAGCTAGGCTGACCGGCGATATTCAGACCTCTAGTTTCAGGTTGGAGATTTTGTGCTCCTGAAGGTGTCACATTGGAAAGGCTTCATCCCATTTTGGAAGCGGGGCAAGTTGGGCCCCATATACATTGATCCCTTTAGGACTTGCTGGGCAGTGTTGCCTATTGGTTACAACTTCTAGATGAGCTTAGTTAGATCCACAACACTTTCCATTTCTCTCAGCTGCAAAAATATTTAACTGATGATTCCACAATGGTTCCTTAGGATGATATTCATGTTGATGAGTGTCAGAATTATGTGGAGAGACTGATTGTAATTCTTAACCAGAAGACGAAGACCTTTTGCAACAAGGTGGTGGGCTTGGTGAAGGTGTAATGGTAACACTGTAAGGGTTTGGAATGGACATGTGAATCCGAGGAGGAGATGATGGAGCACCACCCTGAGTTATTTGGGGCAACGGACTTCGAGGACGAAGTCTGATTTAAGTATGGGAGAGTTGTACCATCAGAATTTCAGGTATAATTAATTATCATTTATTTATTAGTTTTTATTTTCCATGATGTGGGATTGACTTCTTCACGACGTGGCATGACCTATAGTGTTCATGAAGGAAATTTGGTGCCTCACGCCGTGACATCTTGTCCGTTACATTGTGGCCATCGTCTGAGGAAAAAACCCTAATTTCCTCGGGCTTTGTGCCTATTTAATGGAAGTAAGTCCTAGGGTTTCCTCCACCCTCAGCCTCCATCACCTCCAAACGACCCTTTGGCCAAACCCTAACCCTCTTGAAGCTCTTGAGCTCATTTTGCAAGTTTTTGGTGGTTTTGAAGGAAAAAGAAGAAGAATTTTTGGTGCTTAGTTTCTCCAAGCAATCGCTCATCATCCTTGTGTGCAGGTTCTAGACTTCTTGTAAGTCCTCAAACTCTCACCTTTTTGTTGTATGCTTCTTGTGTCTAGTTTTTATGCCATATTTTTCCTCATTTGTGAGGATGGAATGAGTAGAAGAGATAAAATTTGTAACTTTATGATTTCTCTGAGTCCCAAGAGCATTATATCTCATAGATCTAGTATGTGGTTGCCGTTTGGGGACTTTACATGAATTTTAGGTCAAATTTCGTCTTTTGACCAAGATTTGGGAAAGGACATGCATGGGGAATGCATGTCCATAGAGTTGGCATTTTTAGGCATCATGAGGGTCCCTAAAACCTTTTTGGAAGTTTTCCTCTTGAGACCTTAAGGATTAAGTGCTTAATGGTTGACTCCATGCCTTAAGTTGCCATTAAGGACATAGGTTTTGAGATATTGGCTTATTGGGATATCTTAACGGATAAAGTTGGTAACATTATCCATCAAGACCTTAAGAAGAATCAGATCTGAGCTTTGGAGGTTATGGAACGAATGTAAAGTGGTTGAATCCATTAAGTTGTTGAGCCCAGTTTTCACGACGTGACGTTTTGGCTGTCACGATGTGGCGCCTGGGGGGAGGGGCGTAATCGACACTTTTGTCCTTATCATGCTAATTATGAGGCCAAGACGTGGTGGCTCTCTGAAATTGACTTGGACAGTTGACTTTAGCTTTTGACTTTTGGTTAAAGTGCTAGTTCAAGAGTATAGACGAAGGTTGGACCTTGTTTGATTGATATGTGTGTTGTAGCACCGGTTGCATGACAATTAGCTGTGGTTTATTTGATTTCGTGAGATAGGCGAGTCTTCTCTCTATACTGTGTAGGATGCTTGTTGTCTTTATGATACTTGTATGGAAGACCGTAGGGCTAGCCCGTGATATTTTTATGAAAGACCATGGGGGTTTAGCCCATGACACTTGTATATAAGACCATGGGGTAGCCATGACAATGCAAGGAAAGACCATGGGTTAGCCCATATCACTTGTACACGCATTGGGTAGCCTGTGGCAGTGCAAGGAAAGACCATGGGGGTAGCCTATGACACTTGCATAAAAGACCATAGGGGTAGCCCATGGGAATGTATGTATGTTATGTGGTATTTTGGGAAACTCACTAAGCTTTGTGCTTACGGTTTTGTGGTTTAAACATTTTCAAGTACTTCTAGTTCTAAAGGGAAGAGCCCGACTTGACCGCAGAACATTTCCCCCCTGAGGATTTTTAACATTGATGATTGTTATTTTACTATGATGATTATGATACATTTTTTTACCATGATGGATTTTTGGGGCAAATACTATGTGATTTGATGAATTAAAATGAAAAAAAATTATATTTTTGGGATGTTACATAAAGCTTCAGTTTGAAACCAATGTGTTTCTTGTATGGTTTTGATTTGTTGCTACAGACTACCGAGAGAGAAATAAAATAAGGGATGGGGGGGGGGGGGGGGGGGGGGAAGAGGGAAATACATATTTTGTTCTTCCTCATTGCACTGAATCTAGGGCTTCTTGGTGATCTAACAATTAGGATATGGGAAATACGTACTATGTTCTTTCTCATCATTTATGTGTTGATAGTTGTGGAAATTTGCAACAATTGAATTTTCATGTTTGATGGTGGAGTCAAAGATAGTTATGGATTCCACTTTGCACATATGATTTTGGATGCGGTTGTGAAGTTGATAGCAGTAATTTAATTTCTCAATTTATTTTGTTCGTATCAAGATCTTGTCGTCGACTCCTTCATTAGAACTTAGAAGCAAGATTGGTCACATGATGTGATCGAGTAAAAGATAAAAGACTGTTTCTTAAGTTAAATGTGTTTTCAACACTGCTGGTTACTTTCTTCCTTCTCTATTTCCTTATATGCCCGAACGAACACAATGAATAACAAACAAAGCATTTAACACTTAATAGTTACAGATGAATGCTTCTAGGTTGTCCTCAACATCTATCCTAGGTGACCCAAAAGCCAGTCATATAAGATTAAAGATCTATTTACTAGGTTAGTAGGTCACATTCGATTATATTTCCTTAAAATACAAAAAAATTAAAAATTAAATGACCTTTTAAAACAAATTAAAAAATATTATAGGATGAAAATGATATTTTCCTTTAAGAACTCCATGTAGTTCGTATGTACATTTTTGAGAGACTTCACTTTTCCACCGCATTTTTTAATTTTATAAAAGTTTCCAGTTTTAGCATATTTCACTACTTAATTTGAGATAAAAGGCTAGCCTATTTCACTACTTTGACATATATAACAAGGGTTTGTTATAACAAGGGTTTGTTGTAACCATACTATACATGCTTCTTAAACTCAAAGTACCATGGTTTCCAATTTTTAGTGTATCCAATTATGGGATTCTCATGATTTACAATTTTAGTTATTCCTTTCATATTTATTTCTTACACAAAATCATTTCTAGATAAAGGTAAGGGTAACTTATCACATAATCCTATAAAAGCAGCATGTTACTATCCATTTGTAATTGTAGACTAAAATATAATATAATATACTCTATTTATTATATATATATATATATATATATATATTATATATATATATATATATATATATAATAGTAATATATTTCTTTTTTTATCCATAATATTACATTTTTATCGGACATTTACACATTTTGCAAGAATGAGTTGATAATTGGACAAAGTCACCCATAATTCAAATTGTGCATGGCATAAAAAATACTACGGATTTTCTTTTGTAAAACAACATCATTTCCCGAACATATTTAGTACATCATTTAGTTTGTATACATTCCACATAAAAACATACCAAATACACCTCGAATATCTGTTCCCCCTTTTATATAAAACGACATGCATACTCGTTAGGCCCAAGTAGATGACCAGTTTTAAAGAACCCTATAAACGCCATGGTCTCTCTACAAACTCTAGCACACGGATCTAACCGCAAGAATGGTGGAAAGAACAACCACAAGCCAGTAATCGTTATAAATGTCAAAGTTAATAGCCAGGTCACAACAGGTGGTTGCTCAAACCTCTGACCCGTGGTTTTCTTCATCACAATCTCCATGCCTACACAAATCCCATGAATTATAAAGAACCAAGTGACTTCCCATGTTGGCGTATATTGACCAAGGTGATAGAAGATCAACTCATGCATAAGCCCAGACACTAGAAACGTTATGAGCACAGCTGGCACTGATACCCATCTTTCAGGAACCAGATGTCTAAAAATGGCACGAGCTGGATGGTAGACTGTAGGGCGTAGTGTATCAGACACCATGAGATTCCACCTTTTTCCCCAAAAGTTTTGTACAGATGTAGAATGATGAGGCTCATCGAATTGTGGTTCTAGCTTGACCCCAAATAGCGTTCGAACCAAAAACGCAAGTGCTGCAAGAAATTGTATGAGCATGAAGACAAAGTAATAGGCAAGACAAGCCGTGATCAATAACGGGTGAAGAAAGTCTTTGTAACCATATGCTTTAATTACAAAGATAAACAACAGAACCCTTGGAACGTAATCTATGTGGGATTTCTTGGTGGTTTGATGGGATGGAGATTCATGATCTTTTAAGATCTTGATAGGAAGACAAGCATTAGCAATGAAATGAGATAAAGGGAGAGGTGGGTGTGAAGATAAAGGGCCTTGACCAAAGGCGTAAAGAATGATCTTGAAGCTTCCGAGCCATGTCATGAAGAAAGAGGTTGGTCCAACAAAGAACACCGTTTGGAGATTTAAGGGAAGACATAGAAAGATAAATATGACAGGAAAAAGAGCCAAGAATCTAGTTGCCCCTTTTGCAATAAACATCCCAACACTATGAGAATAGAGGAGAGATGCCAAAGCTATGCTCAAATTTACCATAAGATTGTATACCTCTCCCTCCATCTCTATGGACAATAGGACACTTTGTCTTTCCGTATTTGCTGCTTCTTGTCACTAACTTAAGAAGTTATTAGCAAATACTGAGTTATATATAGACGGAAAATAGTTAAAAGAGTAAATTACAATTTTGGTCACTATGGTATGACCCTGTCTACAGTTTTGGTCATACTTTTGAGATGTTGATGTGGTTGGTTCTCCTTGTTTGCAAATCCATCAGGTTTGGTCCCTAAGTTCGTTACCATCCATAAGCCTCCGTTAGTACATATAAAATCACGAAAATGCCCTAGTTTTTGTCCATTTCCAATTTGTCTTTTTCTTAATTAAATTTATTTTAATATGCCTAGTTTTTGTCTTTCAGGTTTGGTCCCTATGTGAGTGTGCATAGTCGATCCAGTTACGTTAATATCATATTTATTCTTAAACTCTACAATCGAAGTACATATGGTCTTCATTTATCTACATTTTTATAATTTCAGCATCAATAGAACCCAACATTATATATAACCTTTAAATGGTCAAGATAAAGGTAGTTATCTGAACATGCAAATTTGGTCAAAGCAATGCCTGCTTCTTTTCTTATCTCAACTTCTCTTTCGTGAAGAAGTTGATCAACGAGCTTAATCATTTGGGATTTAGTTGTACAAAATGTTCTTGCTGAATTTCCAAATTGCATTTATCGATGGGAGTAGCAGTTTTTGTGTTTTTCTGTAATTTTGTGTAATTACTCGATATAGCTTTGCAAGCGAGATGCAAAGTGCTCTTGTAGCCATGGCTTTCTTGATTTTGTAAGCTCTACACCAGCCCAAGAGATGTCACCTTGCAACTTCATTTGACATTCTTTGAAGATTTTTGTTAGGATCGAGACACTTAACACACGACTCTAAACACACACACAGCTCACGAAAAACAAAAACACAAGGATGAACACGAGGGATTTAACGTGGTTCGGTCCTTCTCTGACCTACGTCCACCGGTAACTAGGAATTTACATTTCTTGGTGCTAATCTGCACTCTTTCTGTGTTACACTAGATACAAGTTTTACAAATACAGATGAATCTCTTATATAGAGATGGAAATCAGATGTAGTCAAAAAACACAACCGGGTCTTCAGCCAACCTTTGAAAAAACTTCAAATTCAACAATTGTGGCTTCACATTCAACAATTGTGGCTTCACATTCAACAATCTCCCACTTGAAGCCACAGAACAATCTTCACCTGTGATTCAACTGTGCATCTGTATTTTAAAAAATTTGATCTTAACTCCTTCCTAGTTACCCGGCCTTCTCTTCAATTTACCTGTTCTCTGTCTCCACCGGCTCCCACTGAAATGAACTGCCCGATCCTGGAACATCCTGAGAACAAACGACACTCTCCATGTGAAGCAGATAATCTGGAGAGACTTTTACAGATGGAATACTGGTTCTCTTAACCCACTGTGTTCTGGGTATTCTAGCTGAAACAAAGCCCATGCTCCCACTGCTATGAATGCCCTTGACTGGTTTTTCTGAACCGTTCCAAACACGTTCAACCTGAATCTGACCTGTGACTCTGGGTTTGCCATCTGCAAAGCAAACCTTCTTCTGTCCACGAGACTCTATGAACCGGATTTTGTTTTTCTTCTGAACTGGGACGGTTACTCCCTCAGACGGTAAACTGACCATATATAATGAACCCCTCTTATGTCCACGACCTATCACAAGATTTCCTTTGACAACCTTCCACTGCCCATTCCTGAACATAACCTCGTGTCCCTGTTCATCCAACTGCCCAACAGAAATCAACTGTTTCTTCAGACTTGGAATTACCCGGACATCCTTCAAAGTCCATGGACCGACTGGAGTCTTCAGATCTAAGTCACCTATGCTCGTCACATCAAGAACCTCATCGTTCGCCAGTCTTACCTTACCAAAATCCCCTTCTTTCAGATTCCGCAGTGCTTCACGGATGTGGGTAGCGTGAAATAAAGCACCCGAATCCATAACCCAGGAATCCACATTGCTCTCCACACTACAGATCAAAACATCATCATCTGAATGGTCTACTGCAACGTTAACTTCTTTCTTGTCTTTTGGACATTGATTCCTGAAATGTCCAACCTCTTTACAGTTCCAACAAGTCACATCATTTCGAGTCCTCGACTGACTCCTTCTCCTGTTCCCGCTCCCACTACCTCTGTTATTTCTTCTACCGCTGACCGCATTCAATTGTTCACTTGATGATTCCCCGGAATTTCTTCGTCTGACGTCTTCGCCTAGAATTAAATCCCGAATTCCCTCAAAAGTGAGCTCTTTCGATCCTGCGGAACTAGTAACGGCTGTAACTGTTCCGGACCAACTGTCAGGTAATGATGATAACAGTAGTAAAGCTTGAACTTCGTCCTCAAATTTTATTCCCACTGACCCAAGTCTGGATAAAATCGAGTTCAAATTGTTGATGTGTACTGTAACTGAACTTCCTTCCCTCATCCTCGTGTTGACTAGTTCCCGAATCAGGAAGACTTTATTTGCTGCCGACGGCTTCTCGTACATATTAGACAATGCCTCCATGATTCCCTTTGCCGAGGTCTCCTTCAAAATATTGAAGGCAACATCCTTTGACAACGTCAGTCTAATAAATGCCTTGGCCTTCTTATCCAAAGTCTCCCAGTTTGCCTGTGTCATCGCCTCCGATTTTTCACCTAAAACTGCGTCCAAGTCTTTCTGTACGAGCAAATCTTCAATTTGCATCTTCCACCAACCAAAATCTTTCCCATCAAACTTCTCAATCTGAAGCTTACTGCTTTCTGCCATTTTCTGAAAGAACAATGACCTATCTTGCAATTTTCTGGAAATTCAGGGGCCAAATTGCAAATTTTCAAATCTGCTACAGTGTTGCTACAGTTCCTGCTACAGTGTCTGCTGACGTCGTGCTACAGTTCCTGCTACAGTGTCGTCTTCTCCGGCGAACTGGTTTTCCCGGTCACTATTCCGGCAAACCTTTGACCGGCGATTTGGACGTCCTCCGGTGGTCAAAAAATTCAGAAAAAAATATTTTCGGAATCTTCGGAACGAGACCTTTCCAACGGTATACACCAAAATCATTTTTTGACGAAAAAAATTTCGACCAAAAAACAGAAAATCACCCTCTAGAGCTAAACCAAGGCTCTGATACCACTTGTTAGGATCGAGACACTTAACACACGACTCTAAACACACACACAGCTCACGAAAAACAAGAACACAAGGATGAACATGAGGGATTTAACGTGGTTCGGTCCTTCTCTGACCTACGTCCACCGGTAACTAGGAATTTACATTTCTTGGTGCTAATCTGCACTCTTTCTGTGTTACACTAGATACAAGTTTTACAAATACAGATGAATCTCTTATATAGAGATGGAAATCAGAAGTAGTCAAAAAACACAACCGGGTCTTCAGCCAACCTTTGAAAAAACTTCACATTCAATAATTGTGGCTTCACATTTAACAATTGTGGCTTCACATTCAACAATTTTGACAAACAAGGAGTATGTGGCGATGTGGATCATGTGTTACATGCTTTCCATACCTCGACCTAGTACTCCAATTGCTAACGTTGTATTTTATTGACCTTCTAATTTTCCCTATTTCGCAAATTCTAGTAACGGATTGATTCCTCCTTCGATTATCAGCTTCCGGTAACAATCGTTGTCATGTGCCGATGAGACAAGAGACGGCTTGAACCAAGTGGTTTTTAAGCTTATGGTGGTGGTAAAAGCCATCGGTATTGAAGGTTACATTGAACCAAGAGAGTGAGAGACAGAGATAAATGAAGGGATAATGGAGTATAGGGGGTGTAACATCCTAAATTTTTGGTTAATGAAGTTAAAATATGTTTGTATAATGAAACATGTTTATATATGTTGCCTGAAATAGATAAGTCTTTAGAAAGTGTAAAATATGGATAAAAGTGTGAATTATGTCAAATATGACTCAATGACCAAGTTTATGAGAAAACCATGTATAAAAAAGTCGTAATAGGTTAGAGGATGAAAGCTTTATGCTTAAAATTGTTTTTATGCAAGAAACAATAAATAATGACAATCAATGCTTTCGTTATGTTAGAAAATGGGACAAATGTAGGAAAAAACACCAAATGATAGTATAAAGAATTAAACAAATGATATTAGACTTACTTAACCTACCCGCAAATATAGAAAGCCTATTAGAATCTTGAAGAATCTTGAAGTCTTAAAAAGATATGATAAAAGGGTTATATGCAAGAATGCTGATAAATATGTCAAAATGGGACAAACATGAGAAATGGTATCGATCATGTCCTTTGAGTTATACTATAGTACACATTTAATTGGGAAATGTTATAATATATGTTGGGAGTAAAATTGTGTAAAATGATTAATATTTGGACACTAATATATAGAAAAAACAAATTAGGTTGCTATAATTGGTAAAGGAACAAAGTAGATTGCTATTATGTAAAACGGTTAGATAAACAAATATATAGTTAAAGTAAAGTCAAAAAATGATTATAAATCATGAAATATATCAAAAAACATTATTTTTGTGACTAAATACAACAAAAAGTATGGGAAACACAAATCCAAAACACTAATACTTGTATTCGATTTCTATAGTGCAATGCTTAGGTTTTACCAGTAAAGATCAGGTTCTATTACATGGAATAAGTGGTTTTTTTATCTCATTGTGTTGCCAAGACAAAATGGAAGAGTTATAAAAGATAATCAACTCATTTAGAGTTGAAATAAATAAGTTATGATGATTGGAAAATGGCAACATTCGAAACTGTTGTGAGGAAAGTGTGCAACATCCTATGTTTAAGACCAAATAACCCGATATTTAGAGCATGCAATCAGTTAGTTCTTGATTGATAACTATATTCAAGAAAACATGGAATGATTAGCAAATGGAATCGACCAACACAAGGAAGACTCGGCCATCTAAGTGTAGCACAAGAAAGACTCGACCCACACAAAATTATACGAAAGTTTTTGAGAAGCTTAAG